TTTTTTTTTTTGACAGGGAGAGTGGACAGTGAGAAAGAAAGACAGAGAGAAAGGTCTTCCTTTTGCCGTTGGTTCACCCTCCAATGGCCGCCGCTGCAGCCGGCGCACCGCGCTGATCCGATGGCAGGAGCCAGGAGCCAGGTGCTTTTCCTGGTCTCCCATGGGGTGCAGGGCCCAAGCACCTGGGCCATCCTCCACTGCACTCCCTGGCCACAGCAGAGGGCTGACCTGGAAGAGGGGCACCCGGGACAGAAACCGGCGCCCCAACCAGGACTAGAACCCGGTGTGCCGGCACCGCTAGGCGGAGGATTAGCCTATTGAGCCGCGGCACTGGCCACGAGAATGCCTTTTTATAAAAAAAATTATTTATATATTTGAAAGTCAGAGTTACACAGAGAGAGAAGGAGAGGCAGAGAAAGAGAGAGAGAGAGTCTTCCATCACTCCTCAATTGGCCGCAATGGCCAGAGCTGCGCCGATCCGAAGCCGGGAGCCAGGAGCTTCTTCTGGGTCTCCCACGTGGGTACAGGGGCCCGAGCACTTGGGCCATCTTTTACTGCTGTCCCAGCCCATAGCAGAGAGCTGTATCAGAAGTGAAGCAGCTGGGACTCGAACCGGTGCCCATATGGGATGCTGGCACTGCAGGCAGCAGCTTTACCTGCTATGCCACAGCGCCAGCCCCGAGAATGCCTTTTTGTCTTGGTCTGTTTCGCATCGCTACAACAAATACCTGCATCTGGGCACTTTACAAAGAAAAGAAGTGTATTTTGTTCACAGTTCTGAGGTCTGAGAGCATGGTACCATGTCTGTTCAGCTTCTGGTGAGGGCCTCGTGGTAGTCAGGGCAGAAAAGTGGGAAGGGCAAGTGTTGTACGTGCAGACGAGCACATGTGTGAGGAAGACAAAGGGAGCTGCCAGACTTGCTTTATGACGGCCCACTTTCCTGGTAACCAGTCCAATCCCGTGAGAGGACAACTCACTCACACGAGAAAAGCATTAATCCCTGGTACCCACGCCATGCCTCTCAACAGTGTACATCAGGGCCCAGATCTCAGCATGAGTTCCGCTGAGGACAAACCATGTTCAAACCGTAACACAACCTTGGGCAAGTCACTGCAGCTTTTCTCCTTTAAACTGGAGTCCTCCCCGCTTTCTTCCATGTCGCTGTCAATATTGACTGACATTTGCTTGGGTGTGAGCTAAATTTACCATTTATTTTACAGGTTGAACAGTCAAATGAACTAAGGGATCCCAAAGAAATGGTTATTATCTGGATAAGCAGACTCTAGGAAGCCTGGCCCTACGATGTTATCTGTGCATTCAGTAGTCTGCTATTAGGAGATGGGGGTGTGTGCTGGAGTAGTGTATTACATTACATTTCTGGATTATAGTATGAGGGAGTATTTTAGATGTGTGGGAAGAAGTGATTGACAGCCCGGCAGCCTTAAGTGGAAGGAGGTTACAGGCTGGAGACCTAGATCACAGCAGTGTGTTCTCTGAGAACTGCTGCATAGTGTAACCACGCCCCCAGGAAACCTGCTGCGGGCGCTCCGCTGCTGAGAGCGGGAGTGGATGCTGTGCATTTGGGTTTTCTTTTCTAGGAACTTAGAGTTTTGAAGGAAGAACTGCAGGGATTGGAGATAGTCTGGAGCTGGGTCATGCTAATAGGGAACCACTAGGGAGAACTCAAATTTTCAGCTTCTGAGGCCCCTAAACTTCCTGGGTTCTTACTCATGGCCTTGTTGCTGTGACGTGTTGGTGAATTTTTAAAGGATAACTCTTTAAAGAATGAAGGAGGGCTGGCGCCGTGGCTCACTAGGCTAATCCTCCGCCTTGCGGCGCCAGCACACCGGGTTCTAGTCCCGGTCGGGGCGCCGGATTCTGTCCCGGTTGCCCCTCTTCCAGGCCAGCTCTCTGCTGTGGCCAGGGAGTGCAGTGGAGGATGGCCCAAGTCCTTGGGCCCTGCACCCCATGGGAGACCAGGATAAGTACCTGGCTCCTGCCATCAGATCAGCGTGGTGCGCCGGCCGCGGCGGCCATTGGAGGGTGAACCAACGGCAAAAAGGAAGACCTTTCTCTCTGTCTCTCTCTCTCTGTCCACTCTGCCTGTTAAAAAATAAAAATTAAAAAAAAAAAAAAAAGAATGAAGGAGAAGAGAGAAGAAGAAGAAGAGACAGGGGAAAAGTCCTGATTCTAGTACTTGCTGACTTCTCCATGGTGTAATAACTGCACAGGGGCCTATTACAAGCCACCACCAGGACATCCATGACCAGGGACATGGAAAACACTGCATATATTGGCCTTCACAAGCCAGCTTCAGCACACTGCTGCCTGCTTATCAAACTCCCCCTTGTATTCAGTGGTACTCTCCAGTAACCTCCCAAGAAATTTTTGGGGGGTTTATACAGATCATGAGTGTTTCTGCTACTTGTAACTAAAAATGCACTTAACTCAAACTCCCTCTTGTGTCTAAATAATTACAGGCAATTCACTAAACATGTGTCCTAACTTGGCTAGCTTTTCACAGCCACATTTTTTAAATATTTATAGTCATTTAAATGTATGTGTGAAATTAATATCTATTTTTGCAAATATACAAAGTCTTCACCGGTTCCAGAAAATAATTGTTTTAATCACTACACCTGCATAGGTTAACATCTTTGGAAATTCCTGCCCTCTGGTGTCCAGTATAGGGAATGACTTCTGTCTCAGCTGCCAATGTTAATGGAAAACTAGGAAGTGAGGCAGAGATCCTTGGTGCCTCTCAAGGGACTATTCCCATGACAGAAGGGAATTGTGCATACTGGCTCCTCAATATTGGTTTCTTAGTGAAGTCCAAGAGAACTTTATACCAGGGTTTCTCAACTTTGGTACTGATGACATGTTGAGCCGGATAATTCTTTTTTATGGGAGGCTTGTCTGGTGCGTTGTAGGTTGTGTAACAGGATCCCTTGCTGGTAGCACACCTCCCCTCCCAGACAAAGCAAAAATGCCTCCAGACATTACCATTACCAAAAGTACCAGTGGTTGGCGGGGGTGGAGGGGATGGGGGTAGGGTATTCCCAGGCTGAGAAGCACTGCTCTGTGCTGATGAAGCACACTTATCCCATGTATCCCTCACTGACCTTGCAGCAGCACTGGACCCAGTTGGTTTTGGCACCATGTTGAAGTCTAATCCTGAAGCCCAGACTGAAATTCCTGAGTTCCTGTACTGTGTACTACAGGAGAAGATGTTCCAGATGCTTGATAAAAATGCATCTGCTTTTTCTTTTTAAAGATTTATTTTATTTATTTGAAAAAGTTAGAGAGAGAGGTAGAGCCAGAGAGAGAGAGAGAGAGAGAGAGGTCTTCCATTCTGCTGTTCACTCCCTAAATGACCGCAACAGCTGATCCAAAGCCAGGAGCCAGGAGCCAGGAGCTTCTTCTTGGTCTCCCATATGGGTGCAGGGGCCCAAGCACTTAGGCCATCTTCTACTGCTTTCCCAGGCCACAGCAGAGAGCTGGATTGGAAGTGGAGCAGCTAGGATATGAACCGGCGCCCACATGGGATGCCAGCACTGTAAGCTGGGGCTTTAACCCACTACACCACAGTGCCAGCCTCCACACTTGCTTTTTGATAGGGCATAGTCCACAATCCAAAAATTTTAAGTTATTACAGAAAAACATTTCTTAGGAGCATGATGGGAGTGAAGGGTTGACACATCATCCACTATTTAGTAAATGTTTGCTAAGCAGTGCCTTTGAGATAGGTGACGTTAATAGATGCTTGAGCTGATGCAAAAGCAGATTATAGTTCTACCTTTAAGAAGCTAATGACAGAGGAGATCAATGGAGGATATTTTATAAGTAAGAAAAAGTCCAATTCCAACTGCCTTTAACAATAATGTGGCATTATTGGCTCACACATCTGAAAACCCCTCAGGCAGTACAGACCGTAGGTAAGACTGGATCCAGTGGCTCAGGGTTGTCACCACTGACTGGGTTTCCTTCAGTGTCCTTGGTCTTCCTTTCCTATTGTCAATTTCACTCTAAAGCTGACCTCCCTTGTCTAGCAGCTCCAGGTATGATATGCTTCCTCCTTTCTAGTAAAAGACCTGAAATTCACTTTGTTAGGGCTAGTTTGGATCACCTGCTCAATTGGCATCCCATATGGGCTCCATTTCATGTTCCAGCTGCTCCACTTCTGATCCAGCTCCCTGCTAATGTGCCTGGGAAAGCAGTGGAGGATGGTCCAAGCGCTTGGGCCGCAATACCCCATGTGGGAGACCCAGAAGAAACTCCTGGCCCCTGGCTTCAGCCCAGCCCAATCCTAGATGTTGTGACCATTTGGGGGAGTGAACCAGCAGATGGGAGATCTTTCTGTCCTCTGTGTCTCTCCAAGTGTGCCTCTGTTAACTCTGCCTTGCAAATAAATAAATAAAGCCTCAGCACCACTTCCGTGGGTTTCTAGGACGGTCTTATTGCAGCCCTTCATCTTCACATCTGCTGCATCTGCCTCTGACACCTCAACCCTTCCACTCTTGGCAGTGGTGCCTTCCTATTTCAAAGCTCAGGTCAAAGCCAGCCCCTGTGAGGCTGCTTCTACCTCCCAACATCTTTCCTTCCTCCGTACTCCTGTTGCCTTTACACTTACTGTACTTTGTACCTGTTACTGCTTCTCCACCTTTAGGCCCTCACCCTGCCTTTGAAGAGTCTCAGTCTACCCAATTCTCTTTCTATAGTGCCTAACAAAGAAATTGAGAGTTTGGATGAATTTCAAAAAAGTGTGTGTGTGTTTGTGTGTGTGTGTGTGTGTGTGCATGCACACATTAAGAGAGGGAGGCAGTCTAGAACTATGGAAAGCGCACAGGATTTATAGTCAGACAGTCCTGGGTTTAAATCCTAGCTCTGCACTTTCAAATCTCAGACTTGACGCTCTTATTCCTCCTTAACACACATAGGAAGTATGTTATAAATTCACCTTTTCTATGACCTTCCACACGTGTGAGTATGCTATCGCTTCTGTGTTATTCATTTACTTAAGGAACATTAAATAAACCGTACGTTTAGACCAAGACATGCCATTCCACAGATAAAGAGATGTCCTTCAGGCCTTGAACAAACTTCTGCCCTTCCAGGCGCATGTGGTTCCCAGCCTCCAGGTGGAGTGGAAGGAGTAGATAGGGACCTTGTTTCTGTCCATGCCCCTGCCGGATCATGGCTGCCATAGCAGCGCCAGTGCAGGCCCACCGTGCTTCTATCCGCCTAGTGCAGGCCTAGAATCGGTCTGGTTGTTGAAATGCTAATTCCTGGCAAAAATCCCCCTTTGTAAGATCCTTTCACTAGTTGCATTTTCCCTGATGAGAAATGTGGCCCTGTGTGTATTGTGTCATCCTATTTGTTGCTGCGAGCTTCTCACAAGGAGGTTGGAGTCTCAGCTCAGCCACTTACCAGCTGAGTAGCTCACCCTTTCGGAATCTCACTTTCCTCGTTTATAAAATGGGAAGAGTTCTCTATTTTGAGGGATCAAGCCCTGTTTTATATTCAGCACAATTCACTGCATCAGTCTTTATTTTTTATATTGTTCAAAGGATCTTCAAAAAGTTAATGTAAAATGCATATTATGGAAAAGCTATGCACAGGTTTCAGAACTTTTTTGTAACAAAATACACTTTTACAGTCCATTTTTTCCTCCAACTTTCTGAAGTACCCTTGAAAATACAACTGCCCACATTTGCTGAAAAACTAGCCTTTCCCCTTGGCCAGAGGTCAGGACAAATAGCTCCCAGATCCAGTTATAGCATTGTTTTCTTCCTCTGCCTGGTGCCCCACCCTGGGCTTCAGAGCCAAGCCTTTTCCTCACGTCTCTCCCACTGCCAGTTATTTCAGTACATCACTTTGGAAAGCTCTCTATAAGCATTTGTTGTTTTAAAAGTTTGAGAATGGCGATTATCGAGGAGCACTTTTTTTGTTTTGTTTTTGTTTGTTTTCCATGCAAATTGTTGAACTCTTAATATAGAGTTGGTCTTGTGCGTATAAAGTTAATCAGAAATGGATCTTAGAGGAGGAGAGGTGGGAGAGTGGGTGGGAGGGCAGGTACAGTGGGAAGAATCACTATATCCCTAAAGTTGTACTTACGAAATGCATGAGGTTTGTATTCCTTAAATAAGTTTTCTTTGGGGGAAAAATTACAAAGTTTGAGAAAGGGAGCAAGCATTTGGCACAGCAAGTGAAGACACCGCTTTGTGATGCCTGCATCCCTATCAGAGTGCCTAAGTTCAAGTTCTCGCTCTGCTTCTGAGTCTAGCATCCTTCAAATGTGCACCGGTGAAGGGCAGCCGGTGAAGGCTCAAGTACTTCAATCCCTAACACCCACGTGGGAGACCCAGACTGAGTTCTGAGATCCTGGCTTTGGCCCGGCCCAGGCCTGGCTGTGGTAGGCATTTGGGGAATAAACTAAGGAATGGAAACTCTCGCTCTCTTTCTCCCTCTCCCCCTTTGTCTTTTAAACTTTCAAACAAAATGAAAATAGAAATTTAAAGAAATAAATAAAAGTTTGAGAATGAATCTCAGGCCTGTTTATCTTTGTAATACTACGAATACTTTCAGAAGAGCATGGGGGTTTTTTTGAGTCTAAGAACCTAAAATTCTATAATTGACAATTCTGAACATCTTTGGGAGAAAATGCATAAACCATGACTAGACCAGACTATACTGAGAAAATAATTTATTCAATTGTAAATCAGGAATTTTATTTAAAAAAACATTTAAGAATATCAATTAATGAGATACTGAATTTGTCCACTGGGGATTTAAATTTAAATGAGTAAATAAAAAAAAAATCAAGAAATTCTCTCAAAGTAAACATCAGCCCTTCTCTGTAGACTTTTGGGACAGGTGATTCTTTGGTTCAAGACTTGAACCACTGAACTCCTCTAGTCTAGACCAGACCCAAGACAATCTGAGTAACAGAGAAGCCAGATTCTTAAGTGATGTGAGGTGGCCTTTTTCTTCTTCAAAGCCCACTAAATGAAGATTTTTGTTTTGTTTTGTCAGATGTGAGACTAGGAGACTAGGAGGCATAATGAAACAATAGAAAATGTAGGCTTCCTTTTCATCAAACCAGCCTGTTGCATTGTATGTTGATCAAGCCAGTTCAATGGCTCTTCAAATAAACTGCTTGAAAATGGAAACGGATGACTTAAACTGGAACACAAATAAAATAGATGTAAATGTTGCCTCCAAGCTTCCTTTACACTGACTTTAAATAACATGTAGGATTTCACAGCTTCTCTTAGAGAAAGGAACTCAATGTTAAGTTGTTCACTCAGATGACTGACTCATGCTTTTGTTATAAAATCAGTTAACCACTTTTGCCAAATGTATCTGGTCACTGTACTTCCACAGTGCAGATTGAGCCGGCGAAAACCCGAGTCTGTAGATGGGAGGGCTTTTTCTCTCATCCACTCCTTGGTATCAGCCTTTCAAGCTGATATTACGAGGGCCCCCGGGGTTTAAGCAGGTGGTCGGACTGGCTAAGGACTGACTGGCTGTCCTCTAAGGAAGTCCAGGCCCTGGAAGTATTAACGCCTTGAAGCCTCTCCAATCCACTCTGAGTCTTCCCCTTCTCTGACATCATCTCCTTCGCCACACCAAGGATGCAAGTCTCAGACTGCAGCTTGAGCAAAGCAAGAGGCTTCTTCCATTCAAGTGCCTGCTGCTCCGTTAGTCGTGGAGTCAACGAGGCTGAAAATGACCAACAACACTTCCCACTCGGTGCATGGATTTGCAATACGTGTCAGCGCCAACCCAGGATGGCACTGCCCCACAAGGAGCCCATCTCTATTTCCACTCTCTCTTTGCTCTTTCATGGTAGACTCGTGTTGAGGCTCCGTTTCACTTCACACTGCGCCAGCCACCAGCTCATGGATTCCCTAAGGACCATGACGGCCACTTGGAATGGCCACCAGTCTTTCGCAAGGAAGCCAAACACCATCCTAAGGAGGAAAGGGACTGCAAATGGCGTGAAGCAATCTGCTTTGAAGCCTTTGAGGATGACCAGGGTAAATGGTGTCACCACGGAGCGCTCACCTGCTACAAAGCAACTCTGTTTCTTCAGACTCCCCAAAACAGGAAGACACTGAAATCAAGGGGACACGCCCCCCACCCTGCCGTAGCCATATCTTGTTGCCAAACACTTCCCTTAGCACCCTTTTCTCCAGTATGTTATCCGCCACACGTAAAGTGTTTCTATAGCAAATTCTTTTTGGTTCAGCTGATAGTATTTTCCCCAAACCCAGAAAATATAAGAAATCACTGGGAATGTACATCTGATTACCATAGGTTCATTTTCACCATATTACAAGGCTCAAAGTTACAAGGAGAAAGAAGTATGTGTTTTCTGTGTTGGCGTTTTGTTAGTATTTTTTTTTTAAGTTAAATTAAGTGTTACTTTTCTGAGGAAGTAGCCAGAACACTACTCTCTCAATTTCAGAGATCAGCTGATACAATTTAAAGTCAGACATTATTCCTAACCAAACTATATTCTTTTGTCTGCCAAGATATCTTGACAATTTTAATATCTGAAGGTAGGCCTATATGATAATCCCAGCAGTATTCTGGAGATAAGATTTTAGTGGGTTTGTTGAGCAGGAAATACTTGTTCAGGTGGCTTTCATCATGCCACTCAGCTTCGATGTCATTTTGCTTGTCCTGGAGGATTCCCTTAAAGCACTCCTGGGTGAGGTTGAGAACCTGAAGGGGTGTTCCTCCAAAAATGGCTGCATGGTAATAAAAATCCCCTTGTCCAAATGGAATGTATGCTGCCGACTCTTTCCGCCTCTCATAGGTAAATTCGTCAGGATCTGCTTTGTACCACCAGGCCTGTAGCTGAGCCACTGACTGGCCCAGGGTCTCCACCCCAAAGTTGTCTTGGAAGACCTGGTCCACATCCATGCAAAAGAGGAAGTCAACCTCGTGTTGGATATGGGCTGAAATGTGCTCCCCAATGGTCTTCATGCGCATCATGCTGATGTCCTGCCACCTCTTCTCTGGCTTGATCTCAAACACTTTGAAGGAGCGTAGAGGACCCAGCTCTATCAAAGGGATTCTGGAGACATCATCCACCAGGATGTAAAATATGACTTTGTGGCCAATCATGAAGTATCTATTAGCAGATGTTATGAACTCCTCCAAGTAATGCTCAATGTATCTGAAACAAAGAAGAACGCAAAACAATTAAGGCTTTAGGACTCTGTGGGAGACCACATGCTATTATAATCATCTTGTCTCTATTTTACAGTTAGGAGTACAATTTCTTTCCACCCCAGATGTGTGTTTTCATGTGGAGGGACATCTGTTAGTGTAACACTCCTGGCTACTCTCCACCATGCAGTCACTCAGTCCTTGGGGCGGAATGACTTAGCTGACTGCCAGTTTTGGAAGAGCAACTGGGCACGCACAGCCCTGTCCTCCTGCCCTTGGAAGCTGGCCAACTTGAGAAGCATGTGTTTTCAACTGCTCTGCCTTGTGGTAAGTTTAGTAGCAGGCTCTGTTCCTACATCTGGAGGCCTGCAGTTTCTAATGCTATGGGTGCCTGGGTGCCTAAGTCTTCCTACATTCGTGGTGCAATATTTAGGAGACCCAGAGGCTACACAATCTCAAATACCAGCTTTAACTGTTAGGAAGTTACTAACATGAACCTTACTTACTCCTTTGTCTTAGTTAGCAACTGGTAGAAAATTCAGTCTGGATCTCTAACGTGAATGGCAGGGACCCAAGTACTTGAGCCATCACCTGCTGCCTCCCAGGATGTACATCAGCAGGCAGCTGGAGTTGAGAACACAGCTAACACTCAAACCCAGGCACTGACACGGGATGTGGGTGTCCTGGGTGGTATCTTAACTGCTATGCCAAACGCCTGCCCTCTTCTTGTTAAAACATGACTATTTCTTTAAAGCAGTTTTAGGTTCACAACAAAATTTATCTGAAAGCAATGAGAATTCCCATATATCTCCTATCCCGCCATACACCACACAGCCTCCCCCACTATTAACATCCAGGCACCAGAATAGTACGTTTATTACAATACATGAATCTACACTGATATGTCATTATCACCTTTGGATGAGAGTTTACATTGGAGTTATAAATTCTATAGGCTTTGACAAGTTGCCTATTCATTTCCTCCCTCCCCTTCCCCAACCTTGGGTAATCTTTTTGCTGTCCCCATGGTTCTGCCTTTTCCACAGTCATATAGATGGAATCATACAGTATACGGTCTTTTCAGATTGGCTTAATTTCACTTAGTAATATGCATTTAAGAGTCCTTCATGTCTTTTCATGCTTGACAGCTCATAATTTCTTTTTGGCACTGAGAAATATTTTATGGTCTGAATGTATCACAGTTTATTTTTCCGTTCATCTACTGAAGGACAACTTGATTGTTTCCCAGTTTTGGCAATTATAAATAAAGCTGTTGCAGTAATCTACGTTCAGGTTCTTGTGTGGACGCAGTTTTTGAACTCATCTGGATTAATCCCGGGGAGCTCAACTGTTGGGTCTCATGGTGACAGGATGTTTAGTTTTATAATAATTACCCAGCTGTCTTCCAGAGCAGCTCCCAACAGTGAATGAGGGCTCCCATTTCTCCACATCCTTGCTAGCATTTGGTGTTGTCAGTGTTTCTGACTTTGGCAATTTTAATAACTATACAGTGGTCTTTTAACTACTTGTTTATTAATTCATTCAAAAAACATTCCACTGATATCTTTTGTAGGCCCACGCTACAGTTCATCCTGTCAAGCCATGCTATGGAGATTCTAGGGAAGAGGAAGAAGAAATCAGATGGCTTAATACACCGCATCCAAACCCAAACCTCGTGTACATGCACGTGGACTGATCACACTGCCGGCCACTGGTGATCTTTTGTGAGTAATGTGACTAACACTTCTTTTTTCTGTTTATCACTGCTTGGATTTCCTTTCTTTGCTAACAAAATAAATTGTGTTTTTAATGTTGGCATCTGGAGACCCAAGGGTTTATAGTATTGATTCTTTAAGTGGAAAAAATATATCTGAGCAGTACAAAAAGTGACTTTGACATGGTTCTGTGGCTGGTGGCCAGGAAATTATTCGGTACTCTGGAATGTTAAGAAAAATTTACTGGTGCTTGGGAAACAATACTGGTGTGAGTTATGGACGGGGATGAGAGTCATTGTGATGTTTAATATTATTTAGAGATTAAGGCACTGCATTTGGTTTCATGTATAATTATTATTTGGAAACAAAACAAAACATCACACCTCCTAAAAGTCCAAATCCATTTTTTGTGGGATTTACGCTGGTGTTTCCAACAGCTGTCCCTTGTCAGCGCTGAGGGCACAGCATGTTCACTGGGACGCATGACTTAGAGTCCAGTTCTGCAGAGTTGCAGTTGGTAGTCTTTGTGGGGCAGTGGGCAATGTGCTGCTCTTTTTGGAAACACCAGGATCAAATCAATCTGCAGTGTGGCGTGCTTGTTCCCTTTTGTGCCAAAGGATTAGGTGACCTGAGCATTAGCTCCAGACCCGTAATGGTACAGATTCTTCCAGTAAAAAAGTCAAAACTCCACAGTCACCCTTCCCTATTACAGACACAATCGGGTCCCTAAAATCAGCACATTCAGCAACATTAGAATTTGATTAGTATCGTAACAACAGTAACAGCAATGGCCACAGGGCTCTGGGGTGGGGAAGGTATTTTTGAAGAACTACCAAATCTCCACAGAGCTTTCTTCTAGATCCTTCCTTGACACAAAGCGCAAGCTCAGATCAACCTGAGCCTTCAATTCTCATTGTACAAGGCAAGGGAACCAATTTTCCATGTGGCTTTTTCAGCAAGAGTTGTAGATGGAAAGGCCCAGAAAGAAGGAAGGGAGGAAGGGAGGAATTTGAACTCTTGGGTGGGGGGAGGGAGTATTGTAAAATTCTCCAAAAAATCAAAACAGGGTTTTTTTTTTAAGATTTATTTATTTGAAAGGTAGAATGAAGATAAAGAGAGAGGATAGAAGGCAGGGAAGAGAAAGAGAGAGAGAGAGAGAGAGAGAGAGAGCGGAATCTTCCATTCAGCTAGTTCACTCCCCAAATGACCACAACAGCCAGCTTGGGTCAAGCTGAAGCCAGAGGCCAGCAACTCCATCTGGGTCTCCCACAAGTGCTTGAGCCATCTTCTGCTGCTTTCCTAGGCTCATTAGCAGTGAACTGGATAGGAAGTGGAGCAGCTGGGACTTGAACTGGCACTCCAGTTGGGATGTCAGTGTAGCAAGTGTCAGCTTAACCCACTGCACCACAACATCTGCTCCAAAGTGGGTTGTTTTAAAAACCTAATATTACAATTATAACTTGCAAGTAGGAGTGATCACTGTGTTTCTGCATCGAATGTTCTAACAAGGAAATGGAAGCTGAAAGTGGAGCACTTCCAACCTTTGGAAGAGGAGGTTCTGAATGGCCCCAGGGCCAGGTCCCCTGGACGAGATCAGGTAGAAGTGACCTGAGGAACCCATGGAAGAGCGGTCAGTCATGCTCCAACATGGAAAGCCACAATGCCTAGGCCACTCTCTACATAGAACTTGTTATAAATCCCTCTGTCCTTGGGCTTGGGGTCTTGAGAGCACAAAAGAAAAGAATGATACACATTTGAGTCATCTTCCAGCTGGCACTTTTGGAATTCCCACTGGAAGCCATGGAGGCCAGAGAAGAGGGGCAAGTATGTTGTTGATGCTGGGTTCAGTGAGTGTTGAGGTATTTTTTGCCAAGATCCTACTCGGAGCAGGGAATGGGTGGGTTTCCCTAGCATTGTTTTGTTCTCAGTCTCTGGGAGCCTCAGCAGATAGGAGACTGAAATGGTCCCACTTGAGCATGCCCCTCTCCAATCATTCAGACAACACATGAGCAGTCTCCATGAGTCCCAGGGACCCCGCACAACCATTTTGACCCTGGGACAAGAAAAAGTCAAGGACAATTTTTTTTTTTAGCAACACCTACCTTCCGACAGCAAAAACTGTCAACCCCACAGTGATTTTCTGTTTGGAATAATAATTTTCTAGGATGGCTCTGTTGTAAGTGCCTTCCCACACAACTGGCGCCTTCCATCCAGTCACCGTCACAACCTCTGGACGTTTCCTGGTAATAAAAACAGAGTCCCGTAAGTCAGGACTTTACAAAGTCATCTTTGTAAGGTGGGGCAGAGAGTTTCTAAGGAAAAATGCGTCAACTGTGATCTGTGGTGACTGGACTTGAACCCTGACTGTGGCTTAACTCAAGCATGTGGCTGGCCCATGTGACATTTTCAGGGGAAGCACCTTCTGGATGGGAGACTGTAAGCGTTGGCCTCTGGGATCTGTCCTTGGGACCCTTCTGGGTACCTTAGCTATACATTTCACACCCCTTTCTTCTCTTCCTGGTTTCTTTGTTCTCCTACTTCTATTCCATTCCCATTCACCCCAGCCCTAAGCATGTAATTTGTCTCTGTGAGTACCAACTCTGCTAAAGAAGACCCTAAGCCTGATACAGGAGGATGGGAGAATGGAATTAGAGCTGAAACAGAAAAAGGTGTCTCTATTTTCCTTTTGACAGAAGGGATTTCTGACTATTGACCAAAATATAGGAACCTGACTATTGACCAAACAGGGCCCCAGACTAAGGGGATTCTAATATTACTGTTAATTTTACAGACAAAGGGCTAGGGGCACCCAGAAATGAAGGAGCTTGACAGAGGCTCAGCAAGGCCAAGGCTGGCACACAGGGCCCTGCAAAGACTCTTCACTGTGAACACAAAGGGGCAAGAGGGTGTGTTTCCGCATTCAAAAAGCTTGAAAGGGACTTGGCAAAGCCAACACAAACACAGGAAGCAACGTAAGAGCAATGACAAAGCGTGAAATTGTGCAGGGAAAATGCAGAAAGGACAGACCAGCAGCAGGCCCCATGCGAGGGTGAGCTCCAGGCAGGAGTGGGGGTGGCAACTCGGCCCAACCCCCACTGGCTCAGGAAATGGCTGCATTTCCCCCACTGGGAAACAGAGACTGACACATGATCACTCTGCTTGGCATTTGCTTGTGCTTCACTGGCCAGAGTATCTTGGCTCAACCCTGAGAAGGTACCAGGTGACTGGGGCAAAGTCTTGGTCCCTGCCAGCTGTGTTCATGTGGCCATGGTGAGGCTGTCTGTCACCAAGGGAGAGGTTAGCAAAACGAGCCGAGAACTTGCCCTGCCCCTTACACCCGCTGATGGTGGACTGTTCACAAAACCGCCCTCACCTCCTCTGCCACGCTGGTTTTTTCCACGGTGAGGCTGATGAGAATGGCTGGGTCGTCCACTGCCTTGCCCCGGCTCCCGCCTCAGAGCCGAAGAGCAGCCTCCTTGTCCCTCTGCCTCCAGTTCTTGAACTGGCTCTGCCCATCCACCCCAGTCTGTTCCTGGCCGGTTACTAGTTCTCTGGCACAGCTAGAATTGCCTCCAGGCTGGTCCAGGGTGACAGAGGTGATAGAGCAAGGAAGCCTGTTCCAGTTGCTCTCCTGGCCCATCCTATCTTGTCCCAAATTCTGTGACTTGGCCCTCGGCGCCCCGGGTGTACCTGCCACATGGAGGACACAGATGCTCTCGGTTTCCTCAGTCACTAAAGAAGCTATTGTGGACCCTGCACCAACCTGCCAGGCTCCATGGCATACCCTTTCTCCCTTAGTCTTGTAGTAGGCCTGCAAACGCCCAGTGTCCTGGTAAGAAAACCAAGACTCAGAGAAGCTTGGTTAACTTGTCAAGGCCACACTGCAGATGGACACAATGAGCACTTGTTGTGGGACCAGGCACTGTGCCGCCCTTCTGAAGTAGGTGTTATTTTGACTCACAGCACAGAGAAGTTAAGTAGCTTGCCTTGAGGTCATGAAGCTGATAAACAGGAAAGCTGGGATTTGAACCCAGATAGTCTGACTATGGACTCCATGCTATGAGCCCCCACCCTACTGTTTCTTAAATGACATTTACTGGCTGTGCTGATGACATGACACTCAGGTTAAAATCCAGGTTTGTCGGGAAATAAAGATCCTGTTTTCACTCCACTTAGCTGCTTTGACTGTTTTCCTTGGTGCAGACAGAAATGTTGAGCTTTGTTGTTTGTTTCTGGAAGCTTATGTGAGGCGTTAGTTCTGCAGTACCTCCAACTTTGCTGAATGACAAGACCTCAAACCTAAAAACCATAAACACACACACACAGCTTCTATAACCAATGTTTCTAAATGCACATGCTTTGCTACCTCATTCACTGCAATCTTAGTTTAACCCTTAACCCAGCCCACTGGCTAGGTCTTATGGCTATGTGGAAACTAGAGATTTGGCAAGCAGGTAATATTATTACAAAGAAAAAGGAAAGGGGGAGTGGCACTTACTTAATATTTACTGTGCATAAGGGGCTAAGTGTTAGGAAACTGGCACAGTTGGTGGCATGGCCCAGCTACCTGAGCCAGGCTCCACCCCCATCCTAATGGGATTGGCTGCTCCTGCTTCCCTGCCCGCCCTCAGGCAAAGTTTTAAAAGGGCCTGTCCCTGAACGAGTGCTCTCTCGGTCCTTCTCTCCTGCTCTCTCTTGGTTCCTCTCTTCAGCCTCCCCCTCTGGACTCTTGGCTCTTCTCTCTTGGCCCTTCTGTCCTGCTCTCTCTCTCGGTTCCTCTCTCTAGCCTCCTCCTCTGGTCTCTTGGCCCTGCTCTCCTCTCTCCTCTTTGCTCTCTCTTCTCCCCTTGCTAGCTCTTCTCCTCTCTGTCTCTCTCTCTTACAGTCTCCCTCTTTTTCCTTCGCCACCCCTTCACTCCGGTCTGTAGAGTGTTCCCCAATAAACCCTTTCCCTTACTCCGGTGTCCAGTGTGCTTTGCGACGGCTAACATTAAGATATAACACTAAATACTTTGATTCTCTCTTAAAAAAAAAAAAAGATTATGTATTTGAAAGGCAGAACTGGGGCTAGTGCTGTAGTACAGGGGGTTAAGCCATTGCCTATAGTACCAGCATCCCATGTGGGCACTGGCTTCAGTCCTGGCTGCTCCAATTCCAATCCAGGTCCCTGCTAATTTACTTGGGAAAGCAGTGGAAGATGGTCTAAGTCCCTGGGCCCCTGCACCCACATAAGAGACCTGGATGAAGCTCCTAGTTCCTGGTTTCAGCTTGGCCATGCCCAGATCATTACGACCATTTGGGGAGTGAACCAGCAAATGGGTATCTTCTCTCTCTCTCTCTCCTCTCTGTAGCTCTGCCTTTATTTATTTATTTTTTTAAGATTTATTTATTTATTGGAAAGGCAGAGTTACAGAGAGAGAAGGAAAGACAGAAAGAGAGAGATCTTCCATCCACTGGTTCATTCCCCAAATGGCCACAAAGGTGGAACTGTACTGAACCGAAGCCAGAAGCCAGGAGCCAGGAGCTTCTTCCAGGTCTCCCATGTTGGTGCAGGGGCCCAAGCACTTGAGCCATCCTCCACTGCTTTCCCAGGCCACCAGCAGGGAGCTGGATTGGAAGAAGAGCAGCTGGGACTCAAACTGGTGCCCATATAGGATTCTGGAGTCACAGGCAGTGGCTTAACCTGCTATGCCACAATGCCGGCCTCTTGATTCTTATATTTAATCTTCACAAGTACCCTATGAGGTGTATGCTGTCATCATCCCCATTGTACAAATAAAGAAACTGGGGATAGGAAAGAAGGATAAGGTAACTGAGTCTTTTCTCATTTAATTTATACGAAGGAGCAGACTAAGGCTAAGCCCTGGGATCAGAAAAATTAGCACTGAGACCAGACAGTCTTGTAGTCCCAACAGGTTTTTAGCCTGCTACATACTTCTCAACTGCATGAACACTCCGTCCATATCTTTTAGAAAGACTACATAAAAAACAGGGCCCAGTTTGGTTTCTTGAATGGGAAGGACTCCTTCTAACAGGAAGAAAAAGCAGCAATATAAAAAATTAATGTTTAATTATAAATTAAACTGCTCTATTTCTCAACAGTTAATTATTCAATTCTACTGGCAATTCCAACTTAGCAAGAAGCTGAAAACAGCCAGAATGCAGGCAGAGGGGAGGAATGGAGGCAGCCACCTGGGAGACCTGGAAGAAGCTCCTGACTCCTGGCTCCTGGCTTCGGATCAGCCCAGCTCCGGCCATTGCAGCCATTTGGGAAGTGAACCAGCGGATGGAAGACCTCTCTCTCTCTCTCTCTCTCTGCCTCTCTTTAATTCTGCCTTTCAAATAAATAAATAAATCTTTTTTAAAGATACCCACAAGACTCATTAACAGAAGAGACACAAGGCAGCCCACATGTGTACAATAGCTAGGTTTTTTAAAATGCAATCCCCCTCCCCTCCCTTTCCCTCTCCTTTCCTTGTCCTCCCTCCCTTCCTTCCTCCCTTCCTTCCTTCCTTCCTTCCTTCCTTCCTTCCTTCAAAAGGCATAGTTACAGAGAGGCAGAGAGAGAGAGAGAGGTCTTCCATCTGCTGTTTCACTCCCCAATGGCCGCAACAGCCAGAGCTGGGCCTATCCGAAGCCAGGAGCCAGGAGCTTCCTCTGGGTCTCCCATGCGGGTGCAGGGGCCCAAGGACTTAGGCCATCCTCCACTGCTTTCCCAGGCCATAGCAGAGAGCTGGATAGGAAGTAGAGCATCCAGGACTTGAACTGGTGCCCATATGAAATGCCAGCACTTCAGGCCAGGGCTTTAACCCCTGCACACGGCGCTGGCCCCAATAGCTAGTTTTTGACAGTGTCAACTGCCAGATGTGCCTGACATCACAAACACAGGGCTCTAAAAGGAGGGAAAAGTGCCAGGAAAGAGCTGCTCAAATGCCTTGCTTCCAAACAGGGCACCCAACCGTGTGACAACAGCATGTGTAGTTCCATCAGTACAGGCCAAAAGCTTCCCCCTGCCTCCGGGAGTAAAGGGGCCTGGGTAACCAAAGCACTTTCAATTCTGTGTATTCATTTATGCATACACTGTGGTACCCACGAGTTGGATAAAGGAAGTGTTTAAATTCTATAAATCACAAGGTAGGTTTAAAAAAAAAAAAGTGTGGAGTGCCACAACTCATTATAGACGGAACTTTTCAAGCAACAACAAGCAAGAGCTTATAGCGAAGAGTTTATGGCAACATGAACAGGCATGGTGGCTGTGGTGAGGAGAGAGGGGGCTGATGTGAGAGAGACTGGGGGGAGAATTAACAGCACATGTTCATAAGTTAAGCTGTGGGATGGACGGAGGAAAGGCCTCTTGACTATGGAGCCATTTGCTGAGGCGAGAAATGAAGAGAAGAACAAGTGTGGGATGGAACTGAGAAATCTATCTGGGTCATGTAAGTCCTGCGGGAATATCAGGCAGGGCTGGGAGATACAAGTGAGGGTCTGAGAAGATGTCTGGGCCACACGTGAATGTGAGAGTCATTCTCTCATACACAGTGTCTAGTGCCATGGCAATGGGTGACAGCATATTGGAGAGTGGTGTAGGCAGAACAGAGAATAAGCTGCCAGGTTTAGCCCCCCAGAAACCCTGACACCTGATGGCCGGGAAGAGGGAGATGCCCCTATCAAGGAGACAGAATGCAGACGTAGGAGGCAAACGAGGATGTGGTGTCTTGGAAACTAAAAGCGCTCGATGTGGAAATATGTGGACACTGTAACATGCACACTGTGGTATACTTAGGTGACTTACAGAAAAGGATGCCTTTATATAACATGTACCCATTCATTCTTCATCTAATCTTCATTTATGCAAAAAAATAGACTTTGGTGCCCGAAAAAGGCTTAAATTTGATGCCCATCCAAACCAACGTTGTTTAGGTATGTGCTCACTATTCCTCTGGAGGCAAAGCTGAGTCATGCATGGGAGAGAGGGTGACAGCTGGTGCCCATGGTCTGTCTCCTCTCCCTACCCCCCAGTACTTCAGTGCAGTCCCACCTCCTAAGTCCCATTCAGCAAAGCAGGAGTGCCACAGTAAGATGTCTCACCCTCCTCCTTGGTGACATTCTTGGCTCGTCTAGCCTGCCCGCCCCTCAAGGGTGGGTCTTACTCCCCCACCTAAAGGTCTTATCAAAGCAACACGACTTTCATCTCCTTACACTTCTAGCTATAGCTAAGCATTTCATAGACGGCCACTCTTTTATCCAGTTCATCAAATGACACTTGGGAGGCCAAAATTTCCATCCTTCCATCCTGGCATGGGTCTTCTAACAGGGGTGGGAATGTCTGGCCTGAGGGCCACATAAGGCCCAGGAAATTATTTGGTCTGGCTTTGCCAAGGCAGCCGCAGGCAGGACTCAAATTTAAATAAATCGATAGCCAGCTAATTTTTAAGTTGGTCATTCTGTATGGCCTGTGGATGATGTGATAAATATTCAAATGGCCCCTGTGCCTATTCCAAAACAATAAGAGAACTTGCCTGGACACATTCAGTCTTTCTGGAGCCTAAGATCCCTCACCCTGGAATAGATGCACATACATATATCTACAGAAACAAAAATTTCACTATACAACAATTACCCTTAATTTATGTGATGCCTATGGATGTTCTATTCCATTTAATTTTTTAAGTTGGTTTTGAGCCATTAAACTAGTCCTGAACACATCAACAGCCATGACTGGCAGTTTGGAAAACACCAGCCAGCATGGAAGCTTTGATAAACGTTAGTGTATTCTTGTCTAACGAGTGAATTTCTGGCCCCTTGAGACTTATTTAAAACGACCATTCCCATTTTACAAGTAACTGAGCGAATTTTCTTGTTCTGACTCTGGCCTGGAAGACCTCTCCCATCCCAATATTTTGTGCTTTGTGATTTATCTACTACCACCAGCCAACGGCTGTCGGAATCACCATGTTACCTCATCCACTTGGTTCAAAATATCTAGATCTAAATTTTGTTTTTTTTTGTTTTTCAAACAAAACTCATTATTAAGGTCTAATCTATGCTAAGACACTTTCTTCTTCCAAACCAAGAATGTTCTCAATGGCTGTCTTACACTGTTCCCACCTCCTCCTGCTGACTTATGGTTTACTGCTCGTATAGCGGTATTTCTATCTGTCTTACTTTGGATTAAACCATTCCCAGAGCTGAAGCTCTTCTTCATCATCCTCCTTTCGTTGTCCCTTTTCTCTCCTCTTTTCTTTGTCTATGTCTTCTTCTTCTTCTTGATAACTATGGGACCTAAATACAAAGGGAAAACAAGTCAGGTAAGGCAAGGATGGTGGTTGATAAATATCTCAAAAAAAATGCAGTCCAAGACAAAGTGTGCACCAAGTGAACTGGCTAAACAAATTCATGACACTGAACATTTATTCGTGAAGACATACCTTTGATGAAAAAGTGCAGTTCCCAGCTTTTTTTTACTGCCTTTCTATTTCTAGTTAGCAAAATAATGGCCCGACAACCCTCAGATTGTTCCAGGGGGTGGAGGAAACTTGATAAAACAGACTTCCTAAGAATTTTTAGGCTATAGTTGTCTTTCCTGTGATCTAAACTTCAACCCAAGCATTACTCCTAAGTTAACTGGGGGGGAAACCACCTTGTCATACTCGCAAACTAGATATCAGAAAGCAAGACAGGTGAGTGACCAAGACGCTCATGGACCTCTGTATGCAGACTCTGCCAGCACGGGGTGGGGCACACAGACTGCCATCCGGCCACCTTACCCATTGTTAAACCAGCTCGGGAACCACCAGCCCTTCGGAGTGCTGCTGTCACCAACGTCTGGGTTTCTAAGAAATGAAGAAGAATGCAAACATTTTTAGAAAATAAGGCAATCCCCAAACTCTGGGAGTTTCCAAACATTTTTAATGGCAGAGATCACTTTAAAAAAAAAAGATAAAACAAAATTTAAAGCTGCCAGTTCATGAAATAAAAATGAAACACTCCAGCTGAATGAAGGAGGACACCCCTGAGCCCCCTCAGCCGCCCCTTCCTTGGGCACCCCCCCCCCCACAGCAATGCACTCACCCAGGGAGAGGAAAGAAAGAAGACAGGGCTACAGGACAGCATTTACACATCAGCCTGAGTGCTGGATCTGCGACTCGCTCGTTCTGTCACTGTGATAGGCTATTTTCCCTCTCTAAATTTGAGTTTCTCCTCTAAAAAGTGTAGTTAATAATAATAATAATAGGGCTGGCGCCGCGGCTCACTAGGCTAATCCTCCACCGAGCGGCGCCGGCACACCGGGTTCTAGTCCCAGTTGGGGCGCCGGATTCTGTCCTGGTTGCCCCTCTTCCAGGCCAGCTCTCTGCTGTGGCCAGGGAGTGCAGTGGAGGATGACCCAGGTGCTTGGGCCCTGCACCCCATGGGAGACCAGGAAAAGCACCTGGCTCCTGGCTCCTGCCATCGGATCAGCGCGGTGCGCAGGCCACAGCACGCCGGCCGCGGCGGCCATTGGAGGGTGAACCAACGGCAAAAGGAAGACCTTTCTCTCTGTCTCTCTCTCTCACTGTCCACTCTGCCTGTCAAAAAAAAAAAATAAATAATAATAATAATGCTAAACCTTCCATGAAGATAGTCTTGAAGACTGACAGAATCGTGTACACGTAAAGGCTTTCTAAATCGAAAATTACTGTAACAAGTTACAGTCTTAACGGGGAAAAAAAAAATCACACATTTCCCAGAATGATCTCCTTTGTTAAACTAGGAGAATTCAAGTTGCTACAAAGGTCAGCTTGAAAAATTAAAAATTCAGGTTCCCCAAAGGTCACCAGTGACAGCCTCAGAAAATCTGAGGGCTGCTGAACAAGAAGTTTGGGAAAGCGTGATTAGAACCCACTTTAGCCACCCACAGGAGAAAGCCTGCACACTGTCTCATTGTGAGAGTCTTTTCAGCTGGGGGCCTTCTGTGGGGCAAGGAGGGGAGCCAGGGGCTGCAACGCCCTGAATTCAGTTGGACAAATAGGGTGGTGAGGTAATTCATGAACAAGCGTAATAATATGAAAAAACTGTTTTAAAGCCCATCTACTTTTAGGAAGTGTCTGAGATGGCTTTCAGTACAGAGGTATGGTTATCATAAACCAAGAGACAGCGCAGGAATAAAAAACACAAGGAGGAACAGAAAGAGAAACAGTGATTTAGTCACCCAGATGGTGTTTCACAGGAAACTGGAACCCAAAGTAAACTTGTATCTCTGTTTTTATTTCACAGCTGATACTGGCTAAGAAGGTCTCATGGCATGCAAGCATAAAAGCCAGGACTTAATACCAGTGTATAAATTATGACAGGAATTAAGGCTGGGGCAGCCACAAGCAGTCAAGCACAATACTTTGCTCTGAGATTCCTAGTAACCAAGCCAATTAAAGGAAAAGACAAGTTTAAATAGCTATAATTTGCTTTTTTAAAGATTTATTTATTTATTTGAAAAGCAGAATTACAGAGCGGCAGAGGCAGACAAAGAGAGAGACAGGTCTTCCATCTACTGGTTCACTCCCCAAATGGCCGCAACAGCTGGAGCTGGGCTGATCTAGAACCAGGAGCCAGGAGCTTCCTCTGGGTCTCCCACGCGGGTGCAGGGGCCCAAGGAGCTGGGTCATCCTCTACTGCTTTCCCAGGCCATAGCAGAGAACTGGATCAGAAGTGCAGCAGCCAGACTCAAACCGGCACCCATATAGGATGTGGGCACTTCCAGCGGCAGCTTTACCTATTATGCCACAGCGCTGGCCCCTAAAGATAATTTTTTTTTAAAAGATACAAAGTGGCTCATCAAGCAACTCAAGCTTACCCTTTTATTCTCAGAGCAGTTTCTTGCATGGGTCTTTAGACAACATATAGTGGGCAGAATAATGGACTGTATCTTTCCAGATTCCTTTTTATAGGCAAGACAGGGATGTGCCTCAAATGACACTACTTAAAGATTCCTTTCATGGGACCGGTGCTGTGGCATAATGGGTTAAGCATCCATCTGTGGCACCAGCATCCCATATAGGCACAGGTTTGAGTCCCAGCCGTTCTACTTCCAATCCAGCTCCCTGCTGATAGCCTGGGAAATCAGTAGAAGATGGCCCAACTGCTTGGGCCCCTGCATCTGCAAGGGAAACCCAGAAGAAGCTCCTGGCTCCTGACTTTGGGTCATCTCAGCTCCAGCTGTTGTGGCCATTTAGGGAGTGAACCAGCGGATGGAAGACCTCTCTCTTGTCTATAACTATGCCTCTCAAGTAAATAGATAAATCTTAAAAAAAAAAAAAAAAAGATTCCTTTCATGAGAACCAAGGACAAAACACTAGCCATGGTTCTATAAAGACAAAGTAGGGTGTGCGGGGAGTTCCACCTGCTACCCTCCTATTTTGGCTTGAGGGCCATCACTAGCTGCCATGCAAAGAACAGACCTTAGTGGGTGCAAGACATGTGAGAAGCATCCCATAGATACCTAGAATTCAGCTTACTCACTTTGACTGATATATCCACAAGAATGAGCCTTCTGGGCTAAAAGCAAAGAAGAAATAAGAACACGTTACTTTTAGTGCTGTGAAAGTCTTCATTTGTAACCATTCTCACTGAGTCCTGAGGTGAGCAGAGCGCCTGGGTCTTAGCTACTGCCAGGTTTCTCCTTCCCTCTTAGACAGAACCAGTGACAGCAGGAGACCGGGAGTGTCCAGGCACAGTCACCTCGGGACCTCCAGGGAAGGGGATCTCTGAAGAATCTCAAGTCATGATTTTGTTTTTTAAACAGAAGACAGCTCTCCATTGTCCAGGAGTGGTTTCACTGAGAGACAGATGGTCCTCTCCTGCCAGCTACCCCGAGGGCCTGGAGGGTAGAAATGCCATGGCCCAGCCCTTTCTCACCCAGGATTCATCTCCCCCTAGAACACAGCACCAGCTGCACCCAGAGAGAATTTCTTCAATTGCTGAAGGCGGGGCGACGGGCTTACAGCCCTCCCAGGCTGGGCCAGAGCTGTGTGAGTCCTCTAGTCAATCATCCAGTGCACACCTGCTGAGGACACAGTGCTGGCCAAGACAGGTCTGCACCTCATCTCTGCAAGGCGGACCCTATTCAGCTGATTACACAGCTCCGTGCCTTCATATTCCAAAAAGCACCATAAAGGAAAAGCACAAGCAGGGGCAGGGGTTTGGGACAGCGGCTAAGACACCATTTGGGACGCCCAGATCCCATGTCATAGTGCCTGGGTTCACGCCCTGGCTGCTCTTCCAGTTCCAGCTTCCTGCTAGAGCACGCCCTGGGAGGAACAGGAGAGTTCTCAAGTCCTTAAGTCCTTGGGCCCCCGGCATCCATGTGAGAGATCCGGACTAAGTTCCAGGCTCTTGGCTTCAGCCTGGCCCCGCCCTGGCTGTTGTAGGCATTTGCGGAGTGAATCAACAGATCTCTCTCTCTCTCTCTGTGTGTCTCTAAGAAATACAAATAGAGACATAGAAAAAACAACAACAACAACAACCACCACCAAGAAACCATGAGCACTTAACAGGAAGATCTTGATGGCTTCCAGGAGGAGGTGGTGGTGTTTTCGCTATGCCATAAAGTGTAGGGGTCACCAGGGGAAGAGGAAGAGGGAACAGGAAGTGGGAAGAGTGTTCCACATAGAGCAAAAAATGTGCAAGGGCCCTAGCATAAAGAAGGAAGGAACCCGGAGTGCCGGCGCCGCAGGCACAGGATTAGCCTAGTGAGCCGCGGTGCCGGCACCCCGGAACCTGGTCTGGGAGCCAGTTCTGTCCCGGTTGCCCCTCTTCCAGTCCAGCTCTCTGCTGTGGCCGGGAGGGCAGTGGAGGATGGCCCAAGTGCTTGGGCCCTGCACCCATATGGGAGACCAGGAGGAGGCACCTGGCTCCTGGCTTCGGATTGGCGCAGTGCCAGCCGTGGCAGCCATTTGGGGGGTGAACCAATGGAAGGAAGACCTTTCTCTCTCTCTCTCTCACTGTCTAACTCTGCCTGTCAAAAAAAAAAAAAAAAAAAAGAAGAAGAAGAAGGAAGGAGTCAACTACAAGGAGATAAGAGAGAGGAAGCCAGAGGTCTTGCTGGGACCTGCCTGGAAACTTTGCCCTTGAAGGGTTTTAAGCTGAGGAGAAACGGGGTCTCATTTGTAACTGGAAAAGATCCCTGGAGAATAAAGGAAGTGTAAAAATAGATGAGGAGACCAGCTGGGAGGTGACGACAGTGAGCCAGGCAGCCACGGGCCGTGACTGAAGGGCAATGATTTCAGAGACATTTTGGGGTAAAAGTGACAGGACTTGTCATCATACTGGGTTGCTCCATGATCTGTGCAGAGAAGCTGTGTCTGGTTCTGGGGTTCACTTAGCTGACTAATCCTCCTTGTGAATGAAAGGGGACAGCCTGGCTGAGAGCTCTGAACCCGGGCTGCAGCACCTGGCCCAGCCCTGCCCCAGCCCAGCCTCAGCCCTGCCCCAGCCCTGCCCCAGCCCAGCCTCAGCCCAGCCTCAGCTACCTCATCTCTGAAATGCACAAACAAATAGTAATTGTTTCAGTCTCTCCCTGACTTCTGCACATCTCCTAGGAAGAAAACGCATCCTTTCCTACCATGCGGTTTCCTCTTGGACCAAGTTCTGAAATTCCAGGTGTCTAAAGCTGTTGATTAGTTCTGATAATATTCATGGCTGTTGACACTTGGGCACTGTGCTAGCTCTTGAAATCCTCACAACCTCCATGGAGTCCTATAGGTGTGAGGACTGAGGAAAGCAGCATTAAGTGACTGGCCAAAGGTGATCCCGCTAGTGAGAAACAGAAGTAGTATATGGACCTGGAGAATCTGACAGCAGATCCTGTAAGGGGAAGGGAGAGGAGGAGGAGGAGGAGGAGGAGGAGGAGGAGGAGGAGGAGAATCGGTTATAACCCAGCACTCAAATTTCACCTGGCAATTTGCAGATTCAGGGTCACATCACATTCTCTCTCTCTGTCTCTGTCTCTCTCATATTTGAGAGGCAGAGTTACAGAGAGGGGGAGAGACAGAGAAATCTTCCATCCTCTGGTTCACTCTCCAAATGGCAGATATAGCTGGAGCTGCGCAGATCTGGAGCCAGGAGCCAGGAGCTTCTTCTGGGTCTCCCACACGGGTGGCAGAGGCCCAAGCACTCGGGCCATCCTCCGTTGCTTTTCCCAGGCCATAGCAGGGAGCTGGATCAGAAGTGGTGTATCTGAGACTTGAAACCGGAGCCCACATGGGATGCCGGCGCCACAGGCAGCAGCTTTACCCACTATGCCACAGCGTCAGGCCCCTTCTGTACCCACCATCCTTCATCTACTTCATATCATTGGTTATTTAGTCACATATCTTATCTCCCCCTCCAAATCATAACCTCTTGAGGGTAAGAATTTTTTTATAAAAGATTTATTTATTTACTTGAGAGGCAGAGTTATAGACAGAGAAGGGGAGAGACAGAGAGAGGTCTTCCGTCTGCTGGTTCACTCCCCAGATGGCCGCAATGGCCAGAGCCGAGCCTGACCCAGGAGCTTCCTCTAGGTCTCCCACGCAGGTGCAGGGGCCCAAGCACTTGGACCATCTTCCACTGGTTTCCCAGGTGCATTAGTCAGGAGCTGGATTGGGAAAGGAGCAGCCAGGACTTGAACCAGTGACCCTATGGGATGCTGCACATGGATGCCTAACCTACTAGGCCACATCGCCAGCATGAGGGTGAGAATTTTACTTGACCTACATCATATCCCTCACGGCATTCAGCACAGACAAGGAGGTCAAGAAAGAGTCCAGGATAATGGATCAGAAGTTCTGAGTTCTAATTAGAACACGGACATAAACCCACTAGTAAGTCATTTCACCTGTTGGCCTCCATCTTGTCACTTAAGAAATGGAAATCCTTGGGGTTGTCACTGTGGCACAGCAGTTAAACTGCTTCTGGGACACCCACCTCCCATTCCGGAGTCCTTGGTTTAAGTCCTGGCTGCTCTGCTTCCAATCCAGCTTTCTGCTAAAGCACATCCTGGGAGACAGCAGACGATGGCTCAGTACCTGGGTCCCGGCCACCCACACGGGAGACCTGGGTTGAGTTATGGGCTCCTGGCTTTGGCCTGGCCCGGTCCTGGCTGTTGCAGACATTTGGGGAATGAACCAGCAGATGGAAGATGGATATTCTCATTCTCTCTCTCTCTTCCCATACCTCCCACCTCCCTACCTTTGAGGTGAATAAATACATTTTCTAAATGGAGATTCTTGGGACAGGCATTGTGGCATAGCAGGTTAAACCTTTGCCTGCAGTGCCAACTTCCCATATGGACACCAGTTCAAGACCTGACTGCTTCACTTCCGATCCAGCTCCCTTCTAATGTGCCTGGGAAAGCAGTGGAAAATGGCCCAAGCACCTGGGCCCTTGCACCCACGTGGAAGACCTAGAAGAAACTCCTGGCTCCTGGTTTCAGCTTGGACCAGCCCCGGCCGTTGCAGTCATTTGGGGAGTGATCCCACAGATGGAAGATCTCTGTCTCTCCTGTCTCTCTGTAACTCTGCCTTTCAAGTAAATAATGGATACCCTTGACTAGAATAAGGGTTGTGCAGTGGGTAAGAGAATGAGCTGCAATTAGACACATAAGGGCCTAAATCTTCCAAAAAATGTGACCTTGATCATTAACATTTAGCATTTTTGAGACTCAGCGTCCATATCTAGAGACTTGGAATACAAGACCCACTTTGCAGGGCTACTGTAAAAATTGGAGGCAATGCAGAACATGGTTCCTGGCACATGCAAACACTCAATAACTAGTAGCTGCTGTCATTGGCATCACCATCACCATCACCATCACAATTTTGTATAACTTTTAAGGTTTCCTCGAATTCTAAAATTCTAAGTTTCATTTTTTAAATATTTATTTATTTGAAAGAGTTACAGAGAAACAGAGAGAGAGATCTTCCATCTGCCAGTTCATTCCCCAGATGGCTACAATGGCCAGGGCTGGGCCAGGCTGAAGCCAGGAGGTAGGAGCTTCCTCCAGGTCCCCCACATGAGTGCAGGGGCCCACACACTTGGGCCATCTTTTACTGCCTTCCCAGGCCAGTAGCAAGGAACTGGATCGAAAGTGGAGCAGCTAGGTCTTGAACCAGCCGCTCACATGGGATGGCAGTGCAGTGGCAGCTTAACCAGCTAAGCCGCAATGCTGGCCCCTGGTATTTCATTTTGTTTTGTTCTTTAACCCTGCTTCAACGCAAATGCTGCCCTGGACGACATTTTTCGAGGATGCTTTACTGACAAGTTTTATTTACTAATGAGTGATGTGCTTAGCTTGGTGCTGTCCACCCGTCTAAACTTAGTGTTCTCAGCTCACCTCAAGCCATCACACGGCCAATTGATAAAGTGGCAAAAGATCTGCTCCCTTTGTTTGCTTCAAGGGAATCCCACACTCCAGAGAATGAAGTGACCAGGCTAGACGATGCCAATTAAAAAGCATCAGCCAGAAGCTCCCCAGCCACTGTGCAGAGGGACACACCCAGCACTGAAAAACAACGCTGATTTCTGAGAGGCCAGTGCCCACATGTCCATCTCAGCCTTTGGCTTCCATGTTTTAATTTTGTGAACCAAAATTTAAAAATACGGAAGTACAACTTTGGCTACCATCCAAAACAGCAAGGTTACCCAATCAAGCCTTCAGAATCAGAGCTTAAAGCTTACACAAATAAACATTCCAACCCCCAGGCAAGAGCTCCAACTGATGCTTCCTTGCTCTGTTGGATCATTCCAACTGCTGACGCTCTTCCTTCTCTTTGCCCAAGTACCCATGTCTGTTTTGTCCCCTGAACAAATGATGATGACGACAACGATGACCGTTTATGGAATGAAGGTTGGTTTGTCTCCAGAATTCATATGCTGCTGCTCTAGCCCCAGTGTGGTAGAAGTTGGAGGTGGGATCTTTGAGGGGAGCAGGTTTCAATGAGGTCATGAGGGCGGTACCACCATGATGGAACTGGTGTCCTTATAAGAGGAAGAGACCAGGGGCTGGCGGCACTGTGGTGTAGTAGGTTCAGCATCTGCCTGCGGCAACAGCATCCCATATAGGTGTCGGTTCAGTCCTGGCTACTCCGCTTCAGATCCAGCTTTCTGCTGTGGCCTGGGAAAGTAGTAGAAGATGGCCCAAGTGTTTGCACTGGGCACCACGTGGGACATTTGGAAGAAGCTCCTGTCCTGGCTTTGGATTGGCCCAGTTCTGGCCATTGCGGCCATGTGGGGAGTGAACAGGCAGATGGAAGATCTCTCTCTCTCTCTCTCTCTCTGTAACTCTGCCCCTCAAATAAATAAATAAACTCTCAAGAGGAAGAGATCATAGTCTGCTTCCCGTCTGTAATGTGTGGAAACAGGGAGCAGGAAGAGCACCCTCACCGGGGCAGGGGCAGGGTAGCAGCTGGCGCTTTGACCTTGCCTCCCCAGCCTGTAAGGCTGTGACAGACAAGTTGTGAAGTCACTCCGTGCATGGTGTGTTCTTGGAGCAGCCTCCCAGCAATCCTAAGAGGCAAGCAGTGTGATTTTTCTCCCTGCTTAAAGACTGGGAAATGGAAGAACAGAGCGACTGAGTCGTCCCAGGTCACAGAGGAGGCAAGCGGCGGCACAGAACCGGCGCAGGTCTCCTGGCCCTGCGTTCCAGCCTGGATACTCTCATCCCTCAAGTGCCTAAGGGAGCCCCAGGGTCCCCACGCCCAACTCTGACTCATCCCTTCTTCGGACAAAATACACTCGGTTTCCTCAATTCAAAAGACCTGGTTTCCAAACGCTTTTAACTTAGTCACACTCTGGCTTTTAATATTTTTCTTAAAATGAGTTTTTCTGAATGAAACGAGAGAACGGTCCAGAAGCAGTTGGGTCTGTGCAGCCGCCCTGCACCAGCTCTGGAGATCCCTCGCGTTCCTGACGTGCCTGAAGGTGCAGTTCCTCGTTTCGGCAGCCAAGATGGTGCTGCTGGCTCACCAAAGATTCGAACTGAAGAATTCAAAAAAGATATTCAAATGTTGTCCAGGTCCTTTGGAACTTGGAGGCCCCTAAAACATTTTCACCAAGAAAATACCAAAGGTGCTGGGACAGCCCGGTCCTCTCTAATGCTGCAGTGGACTTTCTGCACCTGAAGGCTGAGCTTTCCCAGTGCGCCCAAAGGCAAAGGCATCGGGCACTTCTGTAGGGACTCGTGGAGCCTTCAGCTGGAATTTCTAAATCATTGTTCTCTCAAAAATCACACAGGCAGCTTAGCTGTTCGAGGTGAATCCACAGATGAATTCGAAAACAGAGAAACATTCGATTCATTTGCTTTCCAGAGTGTGTGTGTGTGTGTGTGTGTGTGTGTATGAGAGAGAGAGAGAGAGAGAGAGGCTCAAAAATTTTAACGAGGCACAAATGAATCACCAGCCACTCAAGTGTGTGTTTTTGCAGGAAAAGTCAACCCTTGAGTTGCTCTTTAAACTCTGCAAGTATCTTAGGATTGCAAAATTCAGGGTGGATTTCTCAAGGAATTCCTGTCTGAAATCTCTTAAGGTTGTTTCCACATCTGATCACATAAATTATGTAAAATCACATTATGGGCTTCACTCTCTTGGAATCGAGCCTACCAGGGGGGAAAAATCAAGATAAACAGGAGCATGGCAGGAAGGCAGACAATTAATAAGCCAGAAGTTATTTATTTATTTATTTGAGAGGCAGAGATCCTATCTGCCAGCTCACTCCCCAAATGCCCACAATGGCTGGGGCAGGGGCAAAAGCCAAGAGCCAAGAACAAAATCCAGGTCTCCCATGTGGGCAGCAGAGACTCATACTTGAGCCGTCACCGATGCCTCCCAGGGTCTGCGTTAGCAGGAAACTGGAGGCAGGAATTGAACCCAGGTGCTCTACTATGGGATGTGGGCTTCTTAACCACGAGGCTGAAGTTACTCAGGAGATCCAGTGATTTTCCACACAGCACAGAGTTCAGGAATACCGGAAGGGCAGACTCCTTTGTTTACGACTTCAGTTAATCCTAACTACAATCCAGCTTGGTGAGGTGGCTGATACTAGTGAGACAGAGCCAAGGTTATACCTTCGTCAACATCATTTTATCATGGTTCATAATTACCTGTTGATGTATTCCCAAAACACAACAATCACTGTCGAGACAACCAGCATTGACAGAATTATTTTTCCTTTGACATTCATTATTTTCTCCTGGGGAGAAAGAAGTGGGGGGAAAAAACAGACGAAATAAATGAAATGCAAAGCAAGAGATGGCTTTCAAGAAGTGCTTCTACCCACATCCTCTCTAAAAGGACAAATTTATGAATATTTAACTAGAACTGAAGAGTGTGTTCTACCTTAAATTGCATGGGCCTCCCATGGCAAATTAGGCTAATTCAGTCAGTAGAAGAGCACAGAGGGAAAATTGCATAATCACCAATTCTTTTTCAAAGGAGGTCCTAGGGGATTCCAGCCTCAGATCTCAGGGGCTCTATCACCTTGATTTTTAAATCCAGTTAAAGAAGACAAAGAATGGGATTTTCATCTCTGACACTATTCTTTGTCGCTTTGAAAGTGAGCTCTCTTTGGAAACGCAGAAGTCAAGATTGAACTCAATGTCATAATCCAACCACCAGCGTCCAATACAACTACTGATAGGACTGGTGGTATTCTAGACCCGAGCAGACGGGCCTGCCCGGCCACGTGTAAGCCTGCCTCTGCTTCTGGCTTCTTCTCTCAAACTATCATGTGAACTTGGCACAGACAGCCTAGGGCCCAGGACAAAGTGAAAAAGACGCAGGGGGCTGCACACAACTCAGCCCCCGGCTCCGAGAAGCCACTTGACGTCTGCGTCAATGACACTGTCACTGAATGCTAGAAAAGTCTTGGGTTTGGAAGCGAACAGATTTCATTCTGAGGCTGTGGCCATCTCTCTGTTCTGATGTCTTCACATCCCAGAGGAATGGGTCAGACAAGGGCTTTGGAATAAGGTGGGGATTTGAGGCCAGACTTTGGCATCCAAAACTGGATAACCCCGAACCCTGGCTGTTCTCCAGGCCCTCACCCTCAACTCCAAGATGCTCCGAACCCTAAATCCCTTTTTGTAATTCAATTGGCATCAAGGCCATTTATAATCTTTATTCTACCGAGTGAGACTGTTTCAACACTTCTTTGCATAAATATTGACTCACTTTATTATGCAGTGCTGCATTGAGGATGCAGCATGATGTATAATAGATAATCCACATCCCCGAATCCTGAATTCCAACATGTCTGGCCTCAGGGTTTCAGATAGGGACTGTGAACGTCTGCATCGTATTTAATCAATTCCTTCCCTCTTTAAAACAGGAATAAAAATAGTGGTCATGACAACAGGTGATGTTCAAAAACTACTTAGTACTGTGCCTGGCATAGCCTGAATGCTTAAAAAAAGATGCTAGTTCTTAACACTGGTGTCTGTAAAACGAGCTTTTGGGCGGCTCCAATCAGCACAGTGCCTGATACTTAACAAGTGCTCAAAATGCATTTGAAGGAGAGGATCTGGGGTTTAGGAGTAAGAATGTGTTGTAAAATGAAGTGCAAATGGGCACAAATGAGGGACGCTACAGGCTTCACCATCTGTTCTGTGCCACAGCGTGATGAAGAGTCCTTGGAAGTGGGATGTGACTTTGATTTTCTCTGATCAAGCCCCAGGCACGGCTACAGCGGCCTGTGGTGCAGAGGAGGCAACAGCACTGCTGGCTGTGTGGCCCTAGTTTTACCACCCCTGCCCACACCACCAACCTGCTCAGGATCAAGCACAAACTGTCTGACAAGTGTGAGGAGTCTTGAGCAGAGGAATATAAACCCCTGACACATCAGGAGAAGCCAAACCAGACACCCCTCGCAAGCCCCTGCAGACATACGCAGGCGTTGTTATTATTATCAACTTCAGAAATTAGCATCGGGTGCAGCACTCTCATTTCATTTCTTTCTGGGCTTCATAAATGGCTTGAACCTGCTTCATCTTTGGCCGTGGCCGGTATCACTCTGGATTGAGACTTAAAATTGGAAACTGTCCAAATGCAAAGCACTCGACGTGGGCATAAACATGTTCCCTGGAATCCACAATCCGAGTCTCCAGGGAAGATTGGCAACATGGCCAATGGGGCTCTTAAAACATTTTTATTTTTCTGTGTGGACAAAAATGGAGCATTTGGCATCCACTGTGGTCTGAAAGCCTTTCTCTTGTGTGTTACTTATCTTTCAGGAGTGTCAGAACTGTATAATTCTAAAGACGGGTACTCACTACCTAAGAAAAGTGGGTTTGCTTCCAAATTCATTCAAGGATCAGAGGACAGCCTGAGGACTTGTAAATATGAACACAGTGCCTCCAGTGAGAGGAACCTCAGCAGTCCCGGGGCCCTCACCCCGCAGACTTGGTGAAGGCAGCCAGCCCCCGCCCCACAGCCCTCTTGTCATCCCTCAGACCCTGTGACTTCACACTCCAGTCACTTCTCTCCAGATGCATCCTAGGACTCCTAGAGCTACTCCCAGGCCAATCCTAGGACGCAGCTACCCAGAACTTGGCCCCTGCACCAGCTTGGGAACGAAACCACCCACAGCTCAGAACGTGTGCAGACTGTGCTACAGATGTGGAGGCATTTCGCAAGGCAAGGTCATGTTGTAAAGTCTGTCATTTCTCTACTTCCCTCGCACACCCTCGCCCTCCCCCTTCTCCACTGTTATTTCCCCAGAGAGTCACAAAGAATTTTCCATGTGGCCCATAAATGAATCCTGCCTTGCCTACCCCCAACCCGTCTCGCACAGAACCACGTGCACACGCGCACACACAGACACACACACACAAACATCTTCAGAGAGTCTCCCAGATCCACCCCACCGGGCGAAGCCAAGGTATTCCTTCTAAACAGAATTCCTCTCTGAAAGGAATTCCAGTGAGCCCTGTTTTCTCCATCTCACATCAAGGGGAAAGGTGACCCTGTGTACTCAGAGGCCCTGGAAAAGCCATTAGCTCAGAAAGCAGGAATTAGGCAGGGTGGAAGTAGTGGCAGAGGAACCAAATCTATTCAGGTTAAAGTGCTCTCCTCTCTGCCCATAACTTCTCCATTCCGCCCTAGGAACCCAGCCCCTCCACCCGGAAGAACTGCCTCTGCTCTGCCGGAGCTTTGCTCCCTTTTGAGTGAATGTGATGGGTCCAGACAGGGACAGTCCCCAGCACCCGGCAGGTGCACGCTGAATGTTTGCAGAGTGAACAAATGAACAAGGAAGGTGCCAGTCTTGCTGCATAACAGATTTATGAACAGACGTGGAACATGGCTACCATGCAACTAGGTGGTTTTTGGAACCATAGGTACTTCAGCAAACAAAACCACCAAGGGGCTTCCAATCCAATGGGAGACACAACAGGATAGAACATGTCGGGCAGTGACAAAAGTGCTGCAAACTAAAACAGGGCTGGTAGGGGCCTCTGGAAGGAGCCGAAATTAACTAGGTATTCATTATCCTTAGGCAAAATTCCAGTCTGTAGTGCTCCATGTCCTTGATAACAAATGAGAGGGTTTAGAGGCAGTATTCCAGGTAAAACTTACACTAGTGCTAAGACTCAAGTCAACAGAATCCCAGGTGTTTACCTCCGGTGAGTCCCTTTAAACCCTCAGAGCCTCTGCATACCCAACCCAGAGATTCCAGCACCTTCACTGGGTCCTTGAAAGCACAAAAGCAGACCTTGTTTATGATTGCCCTGCAATCCATACATGGCAGCACCTCACAGAACAGTCGGGGTGAGCCCACCACCCCCACCATGTGGCACGGAAACTCAGCTCTGCCCCTTGGGAAAGATCCACCCAGCGGGCCTGCAGTCAGCCCCAGCACTGGGGGCAGAACCCGCTCTTGTAACCAGAGCCCCAGATTTCTCTGGCCTCAGTCTCTGGTCTGGTGAATAAGTCCTTTGGACCTAACTTTCCCAACAAGCTTTCCTGATTGACGTGGGACCTCATTTTTCAAGAGGGGGTTCATGTAGCCACTTGGAACTCATCCTGTTGCAGGAACCTGAGTGCATTTCTTGATGTGTCGATCAAATGATGGATGAGCCAGCCAACATGCACTGCGCACACAGGCTGGCCTACCAGGAGCTGGTGAAGCTTGGCCCTCAGAGCCTCTCACTGGCATGAGCTCTCTTGCAAGACTGACATTGAATCTGACGGCAGTGCAATGGGAAAGCCCCAGTCACGCTTCCCGGGGACAGACGGTGCTCCTTTGCCCGAGGGAATCACCCTGTGGCTCTGTCACCTGTTGAGGCTGCAGGTAGAGATGAGAGGCTGACCTCACTATCCCTAAACCCACCTGGGTCCAATGACAACCTGCCCCGGGGTCTTGTTGAGCACCCAGCACCCTCCAGCTCGGATGGGAGAAGGACCTGAAGGGCACACGGCTCTGGTCCTGCCCGGGGACCACAATGATCCAAGTCTATCCAGGACCCAGGCCCAGCAAGCACGAGAGGGCCGAATCTAAACAGTGATCTGGTTAGCACCACCCAACCAAGGCACTGTTACAGATGCGGCATCACCAATAACAGGTTATGGAGCAGAAAGAATCTCTCGTAAGCTCTCAATAATAAAAAAGCAACCACTGATTAACCACGCTGGAGGCAACGCTGGTTTATCTTTCTCTTGTCGCTACTGACAATTAGACTAGAAAATTGTTGTCAGCTAGAGGCAAGCAAAGAGCACGCTGCCAACACATGACAGGTGCATGAGGCGGCCAAGTAATAGTCATCATCTCTTTGTATTATTTTACTAGAATGCGGTTTTCTGGATTTTGTCATATCTGGAGTATTTGTCAGTTTTTGTTCTTGTTATTTGTTGTGGTATCGTGTGTCTCATATTCTAAACATTTAGTTCCCCACTTAATATTGTATTTACAACTTTGCATCTTTTTTTTTTTTTTTTAAGTATGCCTCCAAATTGAATCAGCTTCAAGCCCTGCAAGGCCTGCTCCTCCCAGACCGAGGCAGGCTCAGCCCTGGGCTAAACACTTTAGCAGCAGGCACTCAGATGATAACACATACGCTGCGAAGTTACTCTGTTATTATTTCCATTTTTCAGATATGAAAGCAAAGCAGGGCTCACAGAGGTGGAGTAACTTGCCCCGTGGCACAGCATAGAGTGGTAGGGCTCAGGATTCAGACCCAGGGAGTCTTTTAACCACTCGGCTGCTGACCTAAACAGGAAGGCCTGGCCACAGGTGAATACTCAGATCTCCTTGGTACAGCCTCTCATTTTGTCTCTCATGATCACCACGTGGGACTGACCCAAAGCCAGCCAAACGCCGGAGGGACTCACCGTGGAGCCACCTTTCCCCGGACTACAGAGCGAGCCCTGACCGGCTCAACGCCTCTGCTGCTGCTTCCAGGCACCTCCTGTGCCTGGTGTGGGATGTCCTCGTTCCCATCACCCGTGTTCCTCGCAAGAGTCAACGCAGTGGCCTTGGCTCGGCTTTGTCGTGAAGAATCTAAATGTCGGCAAAGGGAAGCTGCTCGCCTGAGATCCCTGGACACACCCAGAAGTGGTGGGTCTTAAATGCAGACCCTGCGCCTCCTGGCCCAGTGCCTGGTGTTGGGATGATGCCAGGGAAAGGAGGGAGGGTACCGCATTATCCGAAAACATCTCTAAATTGGCAGGCGGTGTAGAAGTGCTCCTCTGGGGAAGAAACGGGGTCAATTCATGGCCGGGAAAGAACATGGAAGGCTGTTCCCAGTTATGTTCTTCATTATAAGGGTCAACATCAGCCCAGACGCAGGAAAACAACAGACAGGTCTCAGACTAAATACACGGCTAACCGTCAGCCCAGCCATCACAAATGGAACAACCTGTCCTGTGAGGGGCAGCTTGAAGCGCCTTTTCTTGAATACCCGTCAGGAAATCAAAGGCCGGGATCCAGCCTGCTGTCTTTGCTGCCTGACCCAGAAACCACTGCGCAAGGATCTGTCCAAAGAGAACCAAAGGAAGAGGAATGGAAGCTGCTGCACTGTCCTGAGAGAGTTCGCATCTCTCCATCATGCCTGTTCCAGGGTCCCCAAGACCCTGCCCCCGCCCTGTCCCCATAAATCCTGCAGAGAAAATACTAGGCCACAGCCACATCGGCTGCAGCCCTGCGCGGTCCTGCCAAGGGGAGCCAAATAAAACCAGAACTTACTGCAAGAGTCCCACCAGCTCCCGCTTCCAGACCCACTGCTGGGGAAAGAAGGATTTTGTCCTCGTTCCAAACAGGGGACCAGCGAGAGCTTAGGGGGTAGCAGGGACCCTGCCCCAGGGCGGATCCACAAGGCCAACTCTTCACCATTTCCCCAGTGACCCCACACGGCAGAGGCACATCATTTCAACATTTCACATACCTCATCGTCTGCTGCTTTCCCTCCGGAGGAAAAGGCCAAACAACCGAGTTCTATTGAGTGGGATCTGCAGGAGGAGGCAGGGCTCAGAGGCAGGGAAGGTGCGGCATTCCAGCTCCTTTCAAAAGAATAAACAGCTGTTTCAGGAAGCAGGGGGAGTCGCAGCCCTCTGCTTTGTTTCTTGCTCGCCTGGGAAATGGGCTGTTTATCAGGCCTGTTGACTCAGAGCTGAAAGCCCGTGAGCACAGCCTCCCTGCCAAGTGAAGCCACAGGTCCAAACTGGGCCTGAGGTGGGAGGGGGGAAGGCCGCCACCAGGAGAGGGCCACACAGGCTGCCCACATCACCACCCCTGGGCAAGAGGAGGACTCCTCCGGACCCAGGCAACCTCATGTGACTGCTCTGAGGAAGGGCCAGGGGAGAAGGTGGGGAAAACAAACAAACAACAAAAAACCAGGACCAGGCGGGGGATGGGGAAGAACTGTTATCAGATCACAGAAGGCCTGTGGCGATTCTACCTAAATGTGCCTCCAAGTTAAGTCCTTTCTCTACATCCTTTAGGCTTTGGAAGCTGTTCTGCTATGTCTGAACCCCTCATTTTTAGAAAATGGTATTAAATCTCCGATGTGGCAAACCGCCCTGGAAGAACTTTTCAAAGGTTGCTGAGGTCTGACCCAGCTCTTAGGCTGAACAATGCTTAACATTTCCCACACCCACCTCCTGTTACCAAAATAGCACCATGCAGCTGGGAGGGACCTTAGGGCAGTGGGTTCACAGTGTCAAAACTGCTCAAACCTTGTCAAAAAGCACACGAAGTCATTCTCAGAAGCCCCACCACGTAAAACACAGGACGCACGGCGCTCTGCTGAGCAGGAAAGCAATCCTCAAAAACCCGCTTTGCTGATCCTTACGCAGCGGCTGGGCACGTCCAGGGAGTCAAGTCTAGAAGGTGAAGTCTTACCTTCCACTAAGGACTGGGGGCCCAAGCCACACAGAAAGGAGTTGAGGACTGGCCCCGTGGTGGGAGCGGGGGCGGGGCTCAGCAGTGCCTGATCCAGTCCCTTCCTCCCTCCCGTTCCCCAGAGGGAAGTATCACGACTTCCTTCTCTGAGGGCACAAGCGAGCGAGCTGGAGCTTCGCGCTCTGGAAGTTCTTCTGACATCTTGATTTCGTTCTTCCTGTCGGACTCTCCTCAGTCTGAGCAAACACACGCCTTAGGAGCTTGTCATCCGGCTCTGCGCTCTACACCCGAGAGAGCGTGCGTACGTCCCCCAGGAAACTTGCAGAACATTCCAGAGCACTCCCCAAGCGCACGCTCCCCCAGTGGGTAAGCGGTCAGCTGGTCCTGGGCAGGATTCTGTCTGCAGCAAGGAGGGTGATCAGGCTACTGGCGCCCGTGTCAACAGGACGAATCTCACACACATGGCGCACGAGGGTACACGTGGATGGTACCCTTGCTTTAAATTCCAAAAACATGCAAACCTGAGTTGTGGTGGCGGTGGAAGTCTGCTTGGTGGTTTCCTTGGGGGTGGTTGTGACCGCAAAGGGACCCAGGAGAGACTCCCGGTGGGGCTGGTCATGTTCTGTTCTGTGACCGGGGTAGTGGCTACACAGGTGTGTCCACTTTGTGACAATGCATCACAAATGTGCTTTTTTTCGGTTGTATTTTAAGCAAGAGAAACCTTCCTGCCTGCAGCGGCATGCTCTCGGGCATCTGTCTTACCCTCCTCTCACTCCAGGGCCACAGGACCGTGGACAGGCCCTGCCTTTTCCTTCTACTGGGTCCTCCTCTCCAATCCCAAGCTCGAGGAGGACCTGAGGAGGGGCTCAGGGGGTGAGCTGTGGTGTTAAGCAATCCAAGAATCCAGACCCGTGGTCAGGGGTGAAGGGATAGAAAAGAGAGTTTAGAAGCTAAAGAGCTAGGCTAAGCTAAATGGGTCCTCTTGATGCGTCAGCCTGCTCCCGGGTCACACGCGTCTCCCGCTTTCAAAGCGGCCTCTCTCCCTTCTCGATAGATCTTCACGCTCACTCACGGAGTGGCAGGGAAGGGCTCTTCTCCAGCTCCACAGATCAGCGTAGAGAGGCTCCGAGAGGCTCAGCGGCTCACTCAGGGTCACCAGCGAGGGCACCTCCCTGGCAGCCGCTGGCTGCTCTCCCCACCTGGGCCCCTCCAGGCAACACCCCCTATATATTAGCAGGAGAATAAGGCTCCAGGCTGGTTAACCGCAGCTTGGCTGGAGTGCGTGCAAGTCTGCAAGGCAGCAAATTTCACTTCTAGAGAATTCCAACCAGCCTTCCTCCTTTCATCGCCAGACTCTCAAAACAAAAGGAGCCCGCATTTGTGGTCATTCCTTAATTGAGGGTCAGAGAACCATAGCAAATGAGCTTCAGGCTACAGAGCCCTGCTGATCAAAGCTGTTAAGAGGCCACGCAATGATGAATGGAATGGTGACTCTCATCATCCAGCCCTAGCAGCCATGGACCTGCCAGGCAGCAGCCAGCAGTCAGGACGTGCACCTCCCACATCCCGAGCCCCCTGGCCCGCGTTGCAGTGGGGCAGCTGCAGTCTAGGTACAGGGAGCCCTGGCTCTGTGCCCAGATCGCTTCCTGCTGAGAAACGTGATGGGCGAGATTCCCAACCTGCTTCCCTCTGTCGAAGTGTGAGGATTAAGTGTTCCTGGCAAAGAACACTTGCAGGTTTTCACTGTTTAATCCTAGATGTGTTCAGGGCGGTCACCAAAGACTTGCTGGTGCTTGTGAATGATAGAGCAATTTGGTCGGTTTCTTGCTCTTAGTAACAGGGATAATCACAGCCCCCACCGCTCAGGATGGCTGAGGGCAAAGTGCCGAAGGGCAAAGACTCTGGGGTCTGGCTGTCTGGGTGTTATTCCTGGCTCTGCCTCTTACACTGTGCAATCCCAGGCAACTTAGCTAACTTCTCTGACCCTCTGCTTCTACATCTGTTAAATGGGAACAGTAGCACTTGAATGGTAGCTGCTCCATGGCAAGTGCTGTACACAAGTTACTCATTACTGCAAGAATTAAAGGAGATGTTTACTAAAAAGGATTCAGGGCAGTGGCTCAAGGTGTTCAACAGCTATTAGTTTCTAGTGCTCAATTAACCAAATGCTGCCATTCATGTGACTTTGCGTATGTGTAACAAGTACACATTCTGACCACATTGGCCCTGGAAGAGGGGAGAAAAGAGGGAGAAGGGGAAGCTTCTACATGATGCCTCCGTAACCATTAAGAATTGTTGCAGGCTCAAGAGTATCGGCTGAGAGGATCTCTGTGCAAGCCGGCCTGATAAACTAGTGCAGGCAGAGAGGTTGCACCTGTAAGTCTATTTTCCCAGAGAGGACTCTCCATCTGGGCCAGCAAAATGAAACCATTAGGAGTCTTCCCAAGCAACACACAGCAAACCATCTGGAGATCTGGCTCTATTGCAGCCAACTCCAAGACAGACTGCACCAAAGCCCCACTAACGAACCCCCTCTGCAGCCATAAGCTTCCAGCCTGCGCCCCAGCCACCCTCCCTTGCACAGGGAAGTCCCTCCCTGGGGCAGACCTGATTTCTTCATGCTGTAGGTTAGACTCTTTCCAGATAAGGAAGAGGCTGGCTTTGTTGCTCTTGGAACTCCGCCCACTCCCTCAGTCAGATGACTCCAGAAGGAGGTGGGAACCAGGCCCTGGGTTGCTCTGATGGCAATCTGAAAGGCTCACCTCTCCCCTGCAGTGAAAGAGATTTGAGGAGCCATGTGGGCCAGCCCCGTCTCCGAGCCGAACTACATCCTGAACAGGTGAGATGCTCAAGACCACCGTCATGCCCCACTTAAAGCCAACCACGATGCTCCATCTGGCTGTGACAAACCCTGGAAGGTGAACAGGGTTAGAATGCCAAGCTATAAAGAAGGAAAGTGAAGCTCCAACGGGAACCTTGGTTGTAGGGTGCGTGGGAGCCAAGTGTGAGTGAGGTCTTGTCACGACTGGAGGAGCCAGACCAGGCTGGGATGCGAATGGATGTGGTACACGGCAGGGGCGGTGACTGTCACAAGAGCCAAACGGGAGCAGAGCGGGACTCGTCTTGCCCTCTCCTTGGCTACTGGGTTTCCCTCGAACAGCACATGACACCTACCAGGTTCTCCACACATTCTGGTTTAACGAATGTTGAATAAAAGCCTACGGAGGCCAGACAGGCAGCGGAGATGCAACAAGCGATGGCAGGGTCCATGATAAACCAGGCAGCTTGAGCTGAGGGCCTAAAGAACTATGAGTTAAAGTGACCGGCTTTATGGATTAGAAAGAGCAACAGAAAGGAGGAGCACGCCCTTCCAGTTTCAGACAGGTTCTTCCAGAGGCAGAGAAGGCACCATGGCTCGTTTTAGGAGAGCAGAAAACTTAGAGCCATTTTCATTTATGAATGGATATAGAATCAGATTCCCAAAGGAAAACCAAAACCAAACCACTGCGCCAACAGCACTTCTCCGGTCACAGAGCCGGCTGTGTTGGCCACAGGTGACTCCTCTCTTTGGGGACACAGTTTTGCACTAGAAGCATGGCGATTTCATGCTATCCTGCCGCCGCCGGCCCCGTGAGCCACAGCCCCGTTCCCTTCCCTTCTCTGGGCCTGGTTCGTGAAGCAGGGATTCACTCTGGCTCCACTCTGCCCTGGCCAGCCCCAGGGGCAGCTGTGAATGGGGCTTCCATAGAAATCTGAGCAGGGCAATCTCCCGAGGCTCCACGGAGGAGGTGACGCGCCTGGACCGTTGCAGACCGGCTTTCCAACCCTCTCCTTCCTTCCAGAGACCCGACACCTCCATCTGGCCAGGCCCTCCCTGCTCTGCTTCTTCTTCCCACACGCTGGAACACGGAGCCACACAAACAGCAAGGCAGGTCCACCCTTCAGAACCTGGAACGTGCCATGGCTTGAGTGTTTGTCCCTCTAGACACGGGGGCTTGCTCCCTAAAACCTCACGCTCACGGCACTGAGGGGGTGGAGATGGACTCGGTTATGGCGTTTGGAGGTGGACTCTTTGGAAGGGGACTGGATTGGACTGGATCACTAGGGTACATCCTGGTGGCTTTGGAAGAGACCAGAGGACGACAGCCGTGCACTCTTCAGGTCTCTTGCCACACGATGCTCTGTGTCACCTTGAAACATTCAGCAAGAGCCCCGTCACCACCTGCTGACCCAGTAGGCCCCCACCCAATCTCGGACTGCTGACACTGAAAACCGCGCGCTCGGTCAATCTTGTCGGCGCCTCGGGTATTTCACTGCGGTAACACACAGGCCCTTTCTACCCAGGCGCAGCCCCCAGGTGGGCCTCCAGGGTCCCCTGATGAAAGGATCGGCTTTGGCTCTGGCTTTCTATGGGGGGGACAGAGGCAAACAGAACAACCCACGCAGGAGCCCCAAGGAGCTCTCCCCAGGGCAGCCCCAAGCCCACCCGTGAGAGAGGAGACAGAGGCAACCAGCCC